AAACAATTCGCCAGCATGTACAACAAATGCCGTTCTTTGAAAATACGGAGGTACTTCGGCGAGATGTACAAGTTTTCGACCATATTTTAACAATGGAAATCAAAACCCATTTTATATTGAACTTGCCCAGGCCGAAAATTACTACGGCGAACGTCTGCGCAACCAGGCCTCCTTTACCGTTGGATTTACAGGGGGGGGAGGATGCCACTAATATATTCACGATAATATTTCGAATTAAAGTATCATATTCTACCATACTTTCCAACAAAGAGCCGCTGTATATTACTTCTTCCTTAAATTTCTTCAATCTCCGTCGTTTAATTTTCATTTCTTCGACAACATCTCGAGTTTTATACTGTATCCGATCGAAGGAGTTTTTATTTTGAATATCAAATCCCCCTGTAAATCCAACGGTAAAGGAGGCCTGGTTGCGCAGACGTTCGCCGTAGTAATTTTCGGTCCGGGTAAGTTCAATATAAAATGGGTTTTGATTTCCATTGTTAAAATATGGTCCAAAACTTGTACATCTCGCCGAAATATCTCTGTATTTTCGAAGAACGGCATTTGTTGTACATGCTGGCGAATTTTTTTTGAAAATAAAGCGATTTGAGTGTGAGAATTTTCGATTCGAAGTGCCGTGCCGTCGTATCGACGATCGGGAATCGTTAGCCTTTATCATGTTTCATGTATACTAGTAACATCGAGTACAAAGTCTCGGAAAATATTAGTCCAACAAAGGAGGAATAAAAGGAGAACACACACTATCAAATAGGCAAGTCAATTTCATTTTAAAATTTATATTTTACGACATATTTTTACTATAATATACATTAATATAATATAATATACATTTATACTATAAGTCTATACTGACCCTTGCGAGATTGGGCCGCCTGTGGTCTATACCGCCTGATATACGCATTTCCCTGAGGCTGAGAATTTTTGTACATTCATCTGAAAATTTTTAAACTTTACTACCTGCTAACCTCCTACTTATCTACAAGTTTCAATATGATGAACTGGTGAATTAAAAGTATTTTCAAAGATAAATCATCAACAGTTTTATTAAAAGTGAGCATTCAGTCTCTGTTTGGCAGTGTCCACATGTTTACATTGTGATTTGTGGCAAAAAGTTACGTTTCAAAATCTATCAACCTCAGTTCAATAAACAAGACGCGCACTATTAGTATTGCACACGGCACAGAGTTTATCAACGTTTGCAAACAACAAATCTATAAATGGCATATTTTAGAAACAGATAAAAGCGAAAATATACAAACGTTGACGACTAACCGGTTTGATATGAAAATATGTTTGAGAGAGAATACCCAACTTCAAACTTTAAAGTATGAAATTTATTTGTTTCTTGACTTGACTGTTGATAAAATGCTACAGTGCTTTTGTAATTTAAAAGCAAACAGAAGTATAAAATAGAAGTTAGCGGGCGCTTCGAACTATGTGTCGTAAAATCCACTCCTGGTATTTGAAATTTACAGTAACATTTTCAAGCATGTAATTTGATACTTTGCCACTCCCCCTTGGGCAATTAATTTTTGTAGAGTCACGTGACCAGACAATACCAGGGTCTTTCCCAAAAAGACCCTGGGTACGAGGATGCGCAAAGGGTAGTTTAATGATGTTCTATGTTTGTTTCTACTCACTTTTCATTGTATGGACAGACTACAGTACAGAGCACTACAATCAGTTTCAAAAGTCTTGGGACAGATGCCATAAAACTTTCGAATTTCAACAAAACGTCAATCCCCCCCCCGCCCCCTGTTCAATGTTGTGTTCCATTTCTCGTCAGGTTTGATGTATTTTGGTTGGAGCAACATTGATTGGGGTGGGGGGAGGGGGAGCGGAGCGGTATTGTGTGTAAAAAACTGTAATGATCCACTTACAACCTAGAACTACATGTGTCCCAACAACTTCTGAAAGTGATTGTCTGGGCCCCATATGCCATAACACCATTGTATATCTCAAAAGTACAGGGGATAGAATGCTCTGCGAACGAAGTATTTCTGCGCCATTTCGTTCCCAGAAGATCTAATATAACAGTTTAAAACAATTAAGTTCCATTAAAATTCTCAAAGTTAATAATTAACAGGATATGAATATAACTTGTTATGTCATACAGCATTCTTACTCGTTGTTTGGTTTTACAAATTTCGGCAGAGCACAAGTGGGTTGTTTGAGAGGTTATATAGCCCGTCAATATAAAGATAGGTATCGCGAATGTTTTAAGCTAGATATGTGACACTTACTGTTAATTTATAGCATAGTAATATAACATCCGGTTACTTTCGCATGCGGGTAGCGGCTGAGTCAACTGCTAGTTCGGGTACTCCGAAGGTAAAGAACGTTTGCTTTATAATCACTTATGGTCAGTGTGACATTTCACATCTTTCTAGAGCACAATTTGCAGATATAATTGTCGTCGCATGGGTAGGCAGGAGCACTAAGTAGGTGGGAATGTTGGAGGCTCATGGAATGGGCGGTATAGTCACATCCACACGGCAAAAAAAATTGTCCACAAGATCGAGGTGGCGAGCTATCGGAAAGCTCGAGAAGAGTAAATGTGGCATTTAATTGAACCTTTCCGCAGACAGTGGTAAAGGAAGACCCGGACTTGGTGATTTAATTCTCCAGGGCTTATAGACCTCCCCGATGTTAGCGAGTACTAGCGAGTACTATAGCGCGACCCGCCGAAGCAAGAAAGTTGCAGAGGCTTCCAAAAATATGTAACGAAAGGGACTCGCAGTATACGGCGTTGTACGCATTATACAACACTGACGTTAGTGTTATACAGGGCCCGCGGAGCGTATTAGAGAGTGGGGGGGCTAAAGGGTGAGGTTTAATTAATTTAGAAAGTTTCATTTAGATTTCTATTTTAATAATTTTGGCTGTCAAAAAAAGTGGGGGGGGCTAAAGCCCCCCAGCCCCCCCGTCTCCGCGGTCCCTGGTGTTATACGCCAATTATGCTAATAAGCGTTTCCGGACGAGACGAATGCAATGAAACGAACATCGGTTGACACTTCGATTGTCACTATAGAAATATGAAATAACAGGCAACTAGACATCTTTTAAAACAGAACAAGGCTGAGAATAATCTGTTGAGAATGTCTAACAATGCATTTTCTATTAATGAAAGGGTTTGAAATTGATTAAACCAAGTTTTGGATCGATTGACACTTTTTTACATAAATAAATCTGATATATCATAGTGATATTTCCAGAGTTGAGTGTCAATCGATACATTTTATACAATTTATATACTTTGTGATTAAGTAGAACCCGTAATATATCAATAAGCGCTCCCTAAACACGTTTGCTCAGTACTTAATGTTCTGAAAATGATTATGCCGCGACAATTGAAAGTTATATCAATGAAAATGCTATGTGTTTCAAAGTGACAACCGAGCACGTGTTCAAGCCGTTTTATATTACATACATGTTTTCATGTCAAATATACACAATCTTTAAGTGGTCTTCGATAACTTACCTTTGCATTTTATTTAGCATTAACCTAGGTCGATAATTAACCAGATAGATGTGTTTTCTCCCTTGCATATAGACCAGGTTTAATCGCTCGGCATACTATCCTCCCCACACTCACATCTTTCAGTATATAATAAGCTCATTATATTTATAATACACTGCTGGATTGTGTTACATTTCAAAGATATTGACACAGTAAGGACTTTACATATGCCAATGCAATTCAGTAAAAATGTTATACTAAATGCTATATGATTTTCGCGAAACTCATATTCTAAAATACCCGGTAATTCAAAGAGGTTAAATATGCCTTTTTCATTGCCTTTCAGACAATCAGTTTCAAAAGTCTTGGGACAGATGCCACAAAACCTTCGAATTTCAACAAAACGTCAATCCCCCCCCCGCCCCCTGTTCAATGTTGTGTTCCATTTCTCGTCAGGTTTGATGTATTTTGGTTGGAGCAACATTGATTGGGGTGGGGGGAGGGGGAGCGGAGCGGTATTGTGTGTAAAAAACTGTAATGATCCACTTACAACCTAAAACTACATGTGTCCCAACAACTTCTGAAAGTGATTGTAGATGTTTCCTAAGAATCGATTAACTGTTCCCCTTTTTTTTATCAAGAATGTCATTTACATGTACTTGCTTAAAAAAATAAAAATCTCAAAAAATTCCGATGAGAAAATGGGAATTTTTTTACTTGGCTTTAAGTGCTAAGATTGCAATATGTTCCGGATAATGGTATCTGCGATATCCATTAAAAAATATAGACATCCGACAGTGTCTGGCAAAATTTTGGCGGATATTTGCTGAATAATACTGGTCAGAATTTTTATCAGAACCATGAATTCGAGAAAACATTTTTTTGTCTTTTTTGCGTGTTACGAAATTGTGAAACAGGAACAATTACTGCATACATGAGATGCAGAAAATGTTTAGAGATGCAAATTGCTCTTGATAGCCCGCAGATCCCTGCGCTACAGATATTTATACTTACTGTATAAACAATGAACTATATACTATGCGAAAAAAATAGTGAAGTATTGACAAAGTATACCACCATTAGTATCCGGTTTCTGGTTATTATTCGGCATCCGGTTATTATTCGGCATCCGGTTATCATTTTTCATTGACCGGTATCTGGTGTAGACTATGTATATATCCATGAGTACCATCCGGTTATCCGGCAAAACAGTATCAGTACCCTAGATTGCAACTAGGCTTAAGTTAGTGTTATGGTCAGGCTATAGGATATGTTTTGGGATTAGGAATTTAGGTTTAGCATAAGGGTTAGAATTAGGAAAGAAATAGAGGTTATTATTATAACATGCATTCTACAGTAAACTGTTTTGGTTTTGCCGAAACTATGCCATAAATAAAATAGAAATGTTTTGACGTTTAGAGTGAAATCCGTCAGAAAGTTAGGGCGAAGTGTTTTTAACCTTTTTTCAGATATTTAAATGAGCAATCCCACGGGATCTTACTCGCTGATTTTTTGTTCTAGGATGAAAACAATTTTCTGGACTGCGATTTTATGCATGCATTTGAACTGGGCAGTGTTCATTATGATAATTATGTTGTAAACATCAGGCTACCTTACGGGAAAGGTTATAATACAGATTTTGGTCAACTGAAATCATTAAATATCGCAGTAAGTACAACCCACTTATTAATTATTTCAACAACTAATTAATTGATGATATGTTATCCTATTTATCCTTAATACATCGCATGCAGTTGCTGTACACTAAATCGAACATTCATCAATCCTCATTAGAATTGTATACAGCTATTCGCGCTCGTGGACAACCTTAATTGAAATGGCTGTACTGTATATAAAGACACTTCTTATTCAACATGCTTAGGCCTGTTTTATACGTCGAATTTCGGTCGCGTCGAATGCAATTCAAACAATAGATAATGAAGCTTAATGAGGTTTATCATCTCATTATCTATTGTCTTAATTGCATTCGACGCAACCGAAATTCGACGTATAAAACAGGTCTTAAGCCGGTTTTCCACTAGCGAATTTTTTCGCGCGAAGCCCAAATTTAAGAAATGAACTCAAAATTATAGTAAGTATACAAAGAATACCCTTCGAATAATAAGCTTTCAAAAATTGTGAAATGACTGATTAAAAGACTGTTTTTACAGTACATTTCATAGTAAATATCGCGATTTTCGAAAGCTTATTACACTGGCCGCAGCCAGTGTTATAGAATGCCCTTGCTGAAAATGCTGTCTTTTTCGGGGTTTTTTTGGTTGTCGCAAGTGTGACTTTCCATTGCGGCATCGTGGGCTCAGGATTAGCCGCGATTTAGCTAAAACATGCTCACGGTGATTAGGACCAATTCTACACAATGTTAATCGAACGAATTTCGTATTTAAACAACGTTACAAAGTTTTGATGCTGTAATTGTGGGACGTATTTTATTATATTTAATTGCGCATGCGCTTGAACTTTTCTGTGTTTTTCGATATGATATCGCTGAACTCTATTGGTTTTGTATGGATTTTTATTGTGCCGTCCTCTGAATGTTTGTGATCATGAAGTGACGGCCGTCACGAAGTGAAGAACACCTACATGTTTCAAATTAGAATATTGCGATGGTATTTTACCAACCGTGAGGCCAGTGTGAACGTCTGAGCAGGCGTCTTGTTATTCGAAGGGTATTCATGTAAACGTCTTCAAACTTTGCATACTTACTAATGTTGAGGTGGTCTTTCTAGTGATTTGGTTCATTTCTTAATTTGGGCACTTTTTAACAATCGTGCCCAGTCCTCTCGTCAACTTCGGAATGGGTAATTGTTTGAAACAAGGAAGAAAGAACATGAGGGGAAAGTGAGATTAACGAATGAAGACATATGCGAAATAATGATGGGTTCCGCAGAAGAGAGGATGGGGAAGGAAGACGGAGGACTAGTGAGACATAGGCATTTTGGCAGTGTGGCGACCTGTTCTAAACAGATATTTTGACTTGGAACTTATAGTCAAAGGAACGTGCGCGTGCGCGTAAATAGATAATTTGAAATTGCGTGCAAAAATGGCATCTAGTTGTACTAACACGTTAGCATTCAAAACTTGTTGTCCTAGCCTGAAGACAGGCAGAAAATAATAAAATATTGAAAAACCTTCCGTATAATCTTATAATAGAATTACACATTAAATAATTTAAAAATTGATTTTAAAAGTTCCGGGAAACCAAAACTACTCTTACATACACCTTTGTAATGCCAAAGTCGAGTGATGAACCCTAGACTCTCAACGCACAATTGTATCTGTCATGTATCTGTCAACATGTATCTGTCTTAACATTTTTGTTTTTGTGCTGTCGTTTTAGGAAATTCATCAAAATGGTGGATTTACCAGATTGTGGTTTGGTTTGAAAACGGCTCTTGCACCATTGTTGATTGCTGCTGTCGTGTGGTTCAAGAAAAGAATAAATCGCCTACCTAGAAGACCATACTTATTTGAAACGTAAGTACTATTGTCTTTAAAGAAAAAATAACAAGATATAAGTTAATATGAGTTTTGTGCAACATATTCGATAGTACAGTAGGTATATGTAAGTGTTCTATATCAAAGCAAACACATCTAAGTTTGGTTAAAAACAACATGTTCACTATAGTATATTGCGATTTTATGAAAAATATCAAAAATTTCTACTAGATTTTCTTAACCTTTTTTCTTTTTCCATTTTAGTACCATATTCTGGTTGGGTGTTAGCATTTCTGTTCTTGATTGTGAGTGAACTCCATTTACAGCTGTGATGAACCTTCTGAAATATAACATAGTTTTTTTCACCCTCTTTTTCCCTTTGTAAAATGTGCTCAGTTGTATTTTCGTAATTTCTTTAACCCATTAAGTTGCATTGGAGCCCAATATGCCCCACTTATTATTTTACTCTGTCGAAGGCAGACGATTTTACTAGTCATGGGGAGAGCGCTTGCTCTCATGCAATGGGTTAATACAAAAAAATTATAACACATTCACTTTTTTTCTCCAGTTCCATTGGAATGGTTTACGTTGTGGGTTAACATGCCGTTCATGTTGATCCTGAGCGACATCAGACAGGGGATATTTTATGCGACTTTGCTATCCTTCTGGTTGATTTTTGCTGGAGAGCATATCATGGTAGCAATAGTATTTTGTTTTTATTCCATGTTTTTCAATCCATGAATGTTTGTATGCATGTAGGATAATTTTAAATCTATATGGCGATATATTCCCGCCCTCTTTGTCTACAGTTTCGTTCACACGATTAAGGCAGTACTATAACTCTTCATTCATTAACACATGTGATTCTTCAGGAGTGCCGCCTTTAACCCCTCCACAGAGGTTTTTGTGATCTAGCCAAGTGCATATATGTTCGCGTTCAGCTATTTTCTGCCTTAATGGACAACTTGCATGTTAGACTAAATTTTTATCTAAGTAAAGAGAAGGGAATCAAACACCACAGCTAAAAAGAACATAATGAAATTAGTAAAATTGCAAAATTTGGTTGCGAAATGTTGTAAAGCTTGGAAAAAATAGTCTAAATTGCAAAGTTTGCAAATTTTGTATATGTTTGTATTATACGTGCGGAAATTGTTACCATTTTTGGCTCAAAAATGGTAACAATTTCTTACGTTAATATCATATTCAATATCATCATGTCTCACTTCAGGACAGCAGACAAAGAAACAGTTTAAAATCATACAGAAAAGAAGTTGTCGCCATAGTAATTGGTGCTCTTTCTTTATTAATGTTTTTGGAAGTTTGAGTCATTCAGTGTGGTCATGTCTTACGTTAAAATCATATTCAATATCATCATGTCTCACTTCAGGACAGCACACAAAGAAACAGTTTAAAAGCATACAGAAAAGAAGTTGTCGCCATAGCAATTGGTGCTCTTTCTCTTCTCATTTTTGATTTATGTGAGAGGTGAGTGCTTTCGTTTTCTTCATGTAATTCTTAACATGATCTTTAATCTAGTCCGAGGTGATTTATGTATTGCCATGCAGCGCTGTTGGATAAGTATTTCATTGACAGAAGGTCAAGTTAGATGAAGTGAAGGGTTGCAGGGAACTCTTCTGAAAAGGTTACTTTCCACATTCATGTACCACAATCTGCCAGTTGAATTTAACCTTTGGCCAACATATAGGTTGTAGTGGAATCTTGGAACCTAAATTTTTGGGAACGAGAGAGAGAGCTGACGATGATCATAAATGTTTTGATTCTAGGGGAATTCAACTCAGTAACCCATTCCATAGCATTTGGTCTAGCGAAACAGGCAAAAAAGCAGCAGTATCCTTTTGTTTTTAGTGGTGTCCTGTTACTAGGTTATGAATATACCATTTGATGAAGGTATACTGTCTCATTTACAGTATAATTAAAAAGGTTAGAATATCGCATTCGTGTATATCTTACTGAAAGAAGGCATATCTGTAAGAAAATTTATAGAATTTATGATATATACTTACGTTATCTTACATTTGATATTTGCTGTCTTTGGACTGTGGAACACGTGGTAAGATAAAAACAGTCTAAAGAACATATGGGTGCAGCGTTTCGTTTTACATCTCAGTCTTCTCTATTTAAGCCACAGGTTGGTCTGGTGTGTTTTGGCCAGCTCGAAATATTTGCAGTTTGATATGTCGTTTTTACATTTTCACAAGTTAGTTTTCCTTAAGAAATATTTTAGATGGCATTCTTAATATTTGCTGCCACCGGTGCTTGCCTGTACTTCCTGTTCTTCTTGCTAATGATGGCGAAAGTTTTCTTGCACATCAGTGGCAAGAGGTCAGAAATTTCCAAAATGGCTGCCGGTCGAAGAGTTGCATATGAGGTATTATTTTGATATGTTTTAGTTTCCTTAACATATTTGTGACGGATAAAATACTAAAGCTTAACACTGGATAGCTCTATCAATTCTAAAATGTTCTCCCTGTTGGTCGACAACCTTGTTCCCACTCGTTGCCCAGGGGTTTTTTTGGCGAGGTAAAAGAGCGTAGAAAACCTTAAAACCAGTTTTAATAAGAACCAGCCGTTAGTGGTCCAGCGTTACTACAGAAGGAAAACTAAACTAAACTAATTAAACCACGCGCGTCTTCTAATATGTAAAATAGAGTGTACGGTACCTGAAGTATTCAGTATCATGCTTGTATATACATAAATCATTCATCTACATTTGCAATGTTGCATATAAACAAAAATATTTTTGAAATCCGCCATACTTAATTAGAACCCAGGCTCTCACGCGGAATTATATCACGGCGTGAAAGTCAGAGGTGAAAAAATGTATCACTCAACATGTCGTTAACATTGTTGTTGCACCAACACCAGCAAAACTAGAATTTATAATTTTCTCAGAATAATTGCTTTTCTGAATAGCTTTGAAGAAATCTTGCATGTTTCTCTCATACTATACACTTGGCATTTCCTTGTAATGACAAGTTTGATCTTGGGTAATGGTTCTTGTTAGCCCGAAATTAGCCCGAAAAAGATGTAAACACATCTCAACGTTTCGAGCGAAAATGTTTCAGAATGACAAAAATCAATATAAAGAGATAAAACATTTTGTACCAAAGGCTCAGTGGGAGAACATCACTGGATTCAGTGGGAGTGGCTGGCGTGAACACCGCGCGTGGTCAAACGTCATGCGCGAGTGTAAGGAAATGACTGAAAAAACTGTCTGCCAAAATGATAGGAGTAAATATAGGAAAAGAAAATCGTTTATTATAAGGGAACAACCGAAGGTATAAAGTAGGAAACTCCCCCGTTTTTTCCTTGTGACGGGAAGAAGTTATACTGAGTTTACCTCCTCGTAATTTTCTTAACGAGTTTTGCGAGAGCTTCGTGAAGGCAACACTCCTTCGAGTCTTTCGAGTACAAGCAGTCGAGGCATTTGACTGCGGTGTCACTGCCGTGTACTTCAAAAATTGTCTTATACTACCAAAAGATGTTTCTATTTACACTGCGGCCGACCACAAGTTTGAGGAATTTCAATCATGTTAGTTTCTTCCGCAGGTTGTTCCTAAATGCGAAGTTTGATTATAGATGTACGAAAATTTAAATACGAGAAATCATGCTCATGAAATTTTAATACACACTATTTTAGATTTTCGCAAAATTTGGTTATAATAGTTGATTCGGCTTGACTCTTGAGCCTGTCCAAAATCGTGATCATAATTACATGAGATTTGTCCAACAGTTGGTTATAATCTTTACTAATCGTTTTTTTAATTTTTTAGGGAGCGTTTTATCGATTTAAATTTTTGCTGGCGTTCACGATAATTTGTGCAGCATTGACCATCGCTTTCTTTATTGCGACGAATGTGAACGAAGCACACTGGAAATTTGGAGAGAAAAGGACTATTGAAATCTCCAGTGAGTAAACATGAGGAAATATCTTGATAGAAAAGTTTACAAAGACATTTAGTACCAACTGCCAAAAAGAACCCGCCAATTCATATCGTCGAGCATTCTCGTTAGTGTTTGCAATATACCACCTCAATATTTGCAATTTTTTAACATGCTTGGCTGCCACCTAATTGTAATATAAGAGCAAGCAGACAAGCGAAGAAAGATTGAAGCTTCGTGAACAATCGAACAAACAGCCATCTCTACAATCTTTGACAATATAGATTGGGACGATCTAGTTTTCACATGCATTCGGTTGTAATATACCATTCTCTGATACATATTTTCCGCCCTCCCTCTCCCCACCCGTTTCAATGTTGGCGCCGCGTATCCAGACATCAGATTTTTGTTGGCCCAACATTGAACTGGGGGAACGGGGGCGCTATTCCTTTCAAATTATATGAAATTACAGCAGCTGTCCCATGGTTTCTGGCAAAGATTGTAGTTCTGTTAAGTAGTACACTTATTACCTCCTGTTAATTAGTATTGCATGGTTTTGATGTAATTTGGAAGAAACATGCACGAGTGAGATTTTCAAAAACGATTGAAACTGACAAGAAGCTTCCATTTTTCGTCGTCTGTCTGTTGCCCTTATTTAACAACTAGGAATATTCAGCTTCAGAATAAATTAACCCGAAAATCACGCGAAGTTGGTATATTACAGACACCGAAGTCGAACGCCACACTGTCAGTTTTATTTTATCGATTTTAAGAGGTTGGGGAAATTTGATGGCAGGCAAAATGAAGGATTTGGAGCAGCGCGATCGTTCATTCTGCAAACATGAGGTTTCGCCAATTAGCTTGGTGCGTAGATGTGAGATGGCTGGCGCCTTATTAATCACATTTGTATATGCGTTTGTTTTGGACGGGAATGAATTCCTCGACAAATTCTTGTTGAACTCGTCATTGTCTGTCAGCCTCGTCCCCGGGTTCCAACTCAGACGCGCGGATTCGCGGCGCGACGCAGGCAGTGACGGCAGTGGACGGGTTTAGCAAATCAAAGCGCGTGGGGACGAGGCTGATTGTCTGTGGTGACTGATACAGTAGACAACTCGAACTTTAACACAATTCTTGCATGGGTACATTGAAAAAATAGGTACATTCTACCGTTGTCGTTCACATTATGACGTCATGACGTCGTAGGACCAAAAAATGGCCCATGAGCCGCCGAGGCGAGTGGATCAATGATGCATTTTCTTACCATGTTATGGAGCAAAATATCACGTGTTCTCTGCTACCGGCCATTAATTTTAATGTAAATTGTCTATATATTTCTCAAAAAAACACGTAATGTTTTCTCGTTTTTAAAACACCCTTGTCAACAATAAGAACGCCTGCATTACGCAAGCGCAGCAGTTATAATGATTTGTTCCTTAATTAGCTAAACTATAAAGCTCGCATCGAAACGTTTTGGGGCTTTGAAGCGCGATGGACAGATATCTATACCTCGTTTGACGTGATCCGTGATGAATATATACAAAACAAAGCACGCCATTCGTTCGTGACAATTCTGAAAGAGCTACTATTGGCGTAATCTGTGCGACTGTTCTATTATTATATAAATACCGTACATATAATTATTATTTTATTTTTCTCTTCACGTTAGGTGCCTTTATTGCTGGTATATACGGTCTGTGGAACATCTATGTGTTTGCAATCCTGGTTCTTTATGCTCCATCCTCTAAAGCAACTACAACTCATAACATCGAGCTCAATGACGATGTGTCAGATGAAGGCACAAGTGATACACAACGTTTTATAACTCAACCTGTAAATGGCGAAACCTCTCTCATATATTCCATTGCCGGCAAAGGAAGTATCGAGTAACACTGTAGTTTTTAGCTGTCGGAAGGTGAAAGGAGGAAATATGAATAGTTTACTCTCTAGGGCAAACCCGGTAACGATATTCAAAATCCTGACAAGCAATAATTCTGCTACGTAGATGCTGGAGCTATTTTGTAGTTGTAAGTAAGGATTAGTGCCAGCTTGAGAACTTATGACTCGTATATTTTTGCTTTTCAATGTAGGAAGAAAGCATTCTGATTATTAAGATATATACCATTTAATATTGTAAGTTTTATTGCGATTTTTGTTTCTTACTTTTTTTCAAAATTTTTGATGATGTGTTCAGGTTCCAGATTTAGTAGCCATGGTTTTTCATGATCAAACTAACTGAAGAGTGTCCCTACGTGTGGAGCTTTTGTTTTGGCCTTTGTTCTTATTTTGGCTTGTGCTTAACCAAAACGTGTATTGCAGGTCTCATTCTTTTGACTTTCCCAAAATCGCTCAACAAAACGACCGCAACAGTAGGAATATGAAAAAACATGCAGATCCCAGTGAATATTGATAAACAAACTGACTATGGTGATGCATGAGCGATTACCACTGAGCTGTTCAGTATATATTTCTTTAATATAAGTAACAATTATAACTTACTGACCCAGTACTGTACGGGATATCAATTATCAAACCGAGGTTTTAATTGCTGTATTGACCAAGCGATAGCGTGGATAATATTTGAAGATAACTTCGAATAGTATTTGAAGAAAACTATTTCGTTTTATTTAGCCATTAATGCCATTTATTGAAAGACAGTAGTCTGAAAACAACAGCACCGGCAAATTGTTTTCGTAATGCTTACAACATGAGCGGCCGTGTCGTATCGGATATACAAACTCGAGCCGAAGGCGAGAGTTTGTATATCCGATACAACACAGACGCGAATGTTGTAAACAACTTAAAAAACGACTCATCTTATGAGTTCATTGGCGAAGTAATTTTAAAAATAAATGTTGTCTAAGCTGAGAAAATTAAAGTTAAAGTTTATGTAAATCAACATGAATATGTATCACATATACAGATACGACACGCTTATGATTTTTCTTTGTGTTTTCTTCATGAATTATTAATGTTTTTTTAAAGTTCATTATCTTCAATTCATGATTTTTGTTTCAACTAACAAAAGTATGAATTTTTCGAAACAAATCTACTAAACGTGTGGCTGCTTTACAGGTAAACTACGTGAAGCGTTCCTCTTTTGACTTCGTAACTCATTTGGAATTTTCCTCATTAGCTTTGCAAATTTGAAAAACTCTTTGCAAATCCCTTGAGGGAATTTGCAATGTTCCTATCGGCTGTTGCAATATTCCAAACTTCATTTTAAATTTTCCTAACTTCCTGTTTTAATTTCCTAACTTCCTGTTCTGTTCTGAGCGTTGTTATTGGTCGATTATTTTTGTTAGCCAATTGCAACGCCCAGAACAGAACAGGAAGTTAGGAACTTGTAACAGGAAGTTAAAGAACTTCTAACAGGAACTGAGGAAAATTTTTTTGGCTTTTAGCAACATTGCAAATTCCCTAAAGGGATTTGCAAGGGAGTTTTTTTAATTGCAAAAGTAATGAGGAAAATTGCAATCAATTTAGAAACTCAAAAGAGGAACGCTTCACATAGTTTACCTGTAATTGTTTGTTGCAGACGGTGTCTTCAAATTCCTCCTGGTATCTGCAAATAAAATTTGTAGCTCTGCATGTTCAAAACACAAAATATTCTTAATTAACCGCTTAATTTAATAGTTAAAAACAAAACTTTATTTGAAAGTTCTTATCTTTAACCATAGGCATAGCAGTTATCCCTTTTGCGTATTTTCAGTTTGATTGTTTTGAAAGACTTTTAGATATATTTTTGTTTGAGACTCGGCTCTCGTCGCGGCTTCGAATGGTAAGAAAAATTCCGTGCAAAACGGGATAATCCTGCCTCGTCAGTAGCCAATTAAATACAGATACCTGACTCGTCCACAGTCCCTCATCCGTGCGCGGTACGTGCGGTCCCTTCCACTTCCCTTCACGTTTTATCGCATTTCCATTAGCCGCGCGCCATTGTTCTTCCACTGATCTCTATTCGAAACTGAAGCGACGAGGGACAAGGCAGCACAGATACCAATGGTCATAATTTATCGGGGAGGTGTAATTCAAAATTTTAAGGAATGATATTTTGTGACCCTGCTTTGCCATAACCCGGAAAAATAATGCCCCCCCTCTCTCTCTCTTGCTCGTGTCAGTAAACCCCTCTCTCTTGCTCGTGTCAGTAAAAATGTACCTATCTACTACTAAACCCTGCATTCAATAAATTTTCTAATTGCACTTTAAATTTTCTAGTTGCGCTTTATTCAAATCAAATACTAAAATTTATATTATACCAGTACATAGTCATACATAGAATTTCATTCTAAGTTTAAAGAATCAATTTTTTTCAATGCAACTCAAACAAAATGTGAGAAGGCATGTATAAAACAATTAATTGAACTAAAACAGCAGACCCCCTCCCCGCCTTCATAAACTGTCTAATATTTTGTGAACCCCCTTTTTCCCGGCTAAAAAATATGTGAGTCCCCCCCCCGCCCCACTGTTTCCACCTCCCTACCCCTCCTGGCTCCTGCTAAATTATGACAAGTCCCTTATTGACGGTATTTGTGTGTTCGCGTCAGGTCTTCGACTTGCTACAAGTCGGCTCGTGTTATTAGCTGCGAGGCTAAGCTCATATTTCATAAAGCTCGCCCACTCGTTTTATACGCTATACGTTTTACTTGGGAGTACAATGAATTTTCTAGTTACATTTACAATGCGAATACAGTGCGACTAGCGAGTAGACTTGTAAGCAAGTCTATACTGATAACTGATCCTCCTAGGATGGTTTATACTCGCATAATTCGCGTTCGTCGGAATTCGTCTGGTCTCGTTTATACTCGTCCTCACACGAAAGCCCTGGGAACGAGGTTGATTCGCACAAAATGAAGTATTTACATTTCTTTGTGTGGCGTGCCTGCTGTGTCTCTTTAAAGAAGGCTCGGATTCGGAATATAGTATAAAATTTTAAAAAATCTAAAATCGCTCGATGTTTGAGCCTTTGAGGTGACAAAAACAGCTGCATTTCAAAATTTATAAAATCAAAACAAAATTCGAATCGGCAACAAACATCACCAAACAATGTCTGAACAAGCAATAATAGATTTACCTGTGGTAGAAGGCCTTGCGACAGCTTCACCCAAGGAAGTCGCCCCAGAGAATCCGAACACACAACTAGGAATCCTCGCACAAGACAATGAATGTTCTACTAATATATCTGCGATTGAAGATTCAGGACGGATTATGTTCAGGGGAGCGGATATGTCATTTCTGAAAATAAATGGAATTCAGATGTTTACATTTTATGAAATCATGCGTAAACTTTGTCCTGATGCTAAACGAGGTAAACTATAGATGACTTGCAAATGTTACAAATTTTATTTATGTACCAATCAGTGTTACGCCCCACCCTAGGGAGGGCGGGCAAACCCAGGGGCATTTGACATTTTCAATTTTTTTGTGTCAATAGTCCCCGCTGTGAAGCAGCACTTAGTGGTCAATCGTTGTCAAATGCCCCCACCTCTGAGTTAGAGGAAAACTACAAAATGTTATAATCTGCTCAATATTTATAATATAGCATTTGTAAATTCTGAACGCTATAAATTGGCTAAGAGCCATGTTGATATAACTCGATATAAACGTGGAAATTTCCAGTCGCTCTTGGATTCAAATATTCAATTGTAATCATTATTTTCTCCTTTCTTATTTATTTCCTAGTCTGTTAAATTATGTATTAAAAAGACAAAACTTAACAAGATTTTATTTTAAAAAGCCGCAAATGAAGTACCCTGCGACAAATGAACGGGCGTGACGAGGGTCTCTTGGCCATAGTTCTAATACCTGATATTGTTCTCTTACCATGTTTTTATGGTATCCGGTTATGGATTTGGCCAGAGCCCTTCATCGCGCTCGGTCGAACACACATAAAAAGGGCTCTGGGTACAAGAATGTAGTGAACTACAACTACTTCGCTACTACCCACCCTTGTCAATTCACCATGTATCCCCGCCCTCCCGGGCAATAACATTGATTGGTGCTTAAAAGTTCCAGCCCCTATGGCCCTGGTACTTTACAATTTCCCATGACTTAAGGAAATTGTTAAAGTGTAACATGTTTTCTTCACAGTATTTTCCCCATGAATTTTCTCATGAAATTTCCTCCAAGCTTTATGTATCAGTCAATTCCAGCAGTGCCCATCCCCCGGGCCTTTGCAGTTTTTCCTAATCTTGGGGTGGGGCTATTTCCCAAACTTTTTTAGCCCAGGAGTGGCTGTGGGGACTTAAACGTTTTCCATTATGGCGGACTATAACATGAGATTTTGCTGGAAAAGATAATGAATTCATTTGCAAATGGCTTGACACTCGTTCTTTGTGATGGCCTTTCAGTACCATTGTTTTTTATCATTGATGAGTAAAATCCTTTGTCTACATGAAATAGTTTTCTCCTTCAATGGACAATGATCACTATAAAAAATAATCCACAGTATGAGTGCATCGCCAACCCATCAAATTTATACTGTTGCATTAAAATAAAAGATTTTTATTCTTGTTGTGGAACTTCTATTTTCTACTTTGCATTAGACTGAACATTGCGGTATATCGATGTAGTCGATAAATAATGAAATTTCAAAAATATGGACATTCGATTTTTTGATTACCAAAAATACCGAAAAACTATCGAAAGTTTTATCAAAATTATTTCCCGGTAAAGTCTAGAAAACATGTGTGGGCAAGTGTTTATCACAAAAGATCACAACCGGGCATGTGTGATGACTCATAAAAATGGAATGTGCTCTTATTTGAATAATAATCTTAATGGCACCAGACGGGCAGTGGCATATAATGGCGAAGGTTTAAAAATAAAGTATCACAGCTCATTGTAGGTCACTGTTTAGTTTATTGTGAAGATATGTCAATTCAACGAAGTCCTAATAGAGGTTCAAATTTACAAAATAGACTTACCTTCAAATCTACTGTCAGTGTGCAATTCACTATAACTCAGTAAGTTAATTCACTATAACTCAGTCAGTAAGTTAATTCACTATAACTCAGTCAGTAAGTTAATTCACTATAACTCAGTCAGTAAGCTAATTCACTCTAACTCAGTAAGTTAATTCACTATAACTCAGTGAAATTAGATGCTATTGTGAAAAATTCTTTCAGATTTGGAAAGAGTCCTCGCCTTTGCCTTGTGCTTTTACTCTCCTTAATTTCTTGGACAAGATGCTAAATGAGCTGAACAAATATTTTTCTGAGAAAGCATGTGAAATGATTGCTCTCTTCTATCCAGGGTTGATTATAATGGTTTGGCAATTGGCTATTTGCTGAACAAAAACAGTAAATGGCGGATTAATTTTATGTTCTGTGTTGACATTTTGACTGGTGACATAAAATAAGTACGTTTTGTTATCATTTAATTTAAAGGCACTGTACATTATGTGATTAGTACTGTTCACTAAACATTTTCTTGGATTTGCTGCAAAAAGTGCTACAAAACCACATCAATGACAGACAATCAGACATGCAGAAAATTCTAACACAATATCCATTGATTGCATAGATCATTGGGTCTGCTTAATTAATTAATGTGTAATCTTCATGTTCAGAATAGGTGCGAATGAAATCTAGGTAACAATAATTACAGTACATAGAACTCAGCAAATTAGTGGAGAATTTTTAATTAAGCAGACTCATACCCAACAACTACGCACTCTACAGACCAAAGGAAGAAAACGTAAGTGCTTGTGGGCATGGTTGAATGCTTTAGAGTGTGGTAATCGAGTGGTTTATGAGAGCCTGTTGACACTTTGATGTACCAATATTACAGAATAACTTAGCTACTAGTAACATGGCAAACTTAGGCTACGTTTACACCATAACAGATGGCTTTCAGTATCTATCCGATGTGGAATGTACAGTACAACTTTCAGAAGCTGCGCAAAACAATATCTCTTGGTTGCAATGATTCTTCTGAAATTAGCATTCTTATAACAAGGACGGATAGGTGTTTTTTTCACGCCGTTACGCAAAGCTATCTAGTACAGTGTAAACGTATCCTTATTGGTAATTTCGATACCACTTGAGCCTGCAATATTTTGGTCAATATTTTTTAAAATGTAGAACGATTTGTGTGATTTTGTTGGTAGTATTTTCATCATATGTACGATTTTAGGAGTAATGTGGACTAATAGACTATCAGGGTTCCAAATGGCATTTTGCTTGTGCCTGGGGTTCAGTATTAAAAAAATTAATAGCCCAATTTTCAAGTTTTCAACTATCCCTCCTCCCCCCTAAAACTTTTTTTGCAAGACGCTTATAAGGTTAGCGCAAATAAATTAATGAATAATTAATGATACATGTTTTGATATGTATTTAGTGATATATGGCTGTAAAGTATAGTCCATTTTACAGGTTTTGATACCAGTACTGATGGAAATTGGCATGACTGCACTATAAAAACATTATAATTAGTGACAATTGCAATACACACAATTTTAACATTTCTTGTATTGGTAATGTTTTTATAAAATTGCCGTTCTAAGTTCTTTTGAAAATCAATACTAGACAATTTGCATGTTAGCAAAGCATCAGGGGAAAAGTGGTGAGCATAAATACTGTGACGTTATAAAGTTACCGTTTTAAAGGTCAAGTGCAGCTTACAGATGAGTGTGATATACTTTTACAATTCATGTATAGAGTCTATATATAGACGTTGGTTTATTATGGTTTATACAATAAAAACTCTAGTTTTAGTACTCAAACTAAAAAAAAAAACAAGACCATGCCTATGCCCACATTATTAGAAACAACAGCTTTAAAAACAACACCGAAGAATCCAATTTAGTTGATGACTATATACGTATCTCTTAAAAATTACAATGTAATATATGCCAAACATGAATCGCAATTCGTCATTGCGTTATTTGCGTAAATAATCATTGCCTCAATAAATGAGTGATAAACGTAATAACTAATATTCAGTACATTGCACTATTGGTAGCTGTACTGAATACAAAGAATATAATGTATTTCTTGCTTTTTTTCTGATTACACCAATGTTATTGCGACAGATTTGCGCAAATGTAATTTGATATCACGCATTGTAATTATATAAATGCAAACTGCCTAGTTTTCTGGACGTGAGAAGGTGAAGAAGACTGGGAACGTCCTAGTTTTTTGAGCGCAGGGGTCTGAGAACTTCCTAGAATTACCTTATTTGGAAAAAACTAGCCCAGAATACCATCGCGCGTAATGACGTTCTTTTAATCTAAATCTAGACATGTTGACAGAATAAAAACATTCCTAAAACAGAGATTATTAATATAATACGGAAACAGCTTTGCATAGGGTATTAAAATAGCAGAACATTTCGAAATTAAGCACGATAATGTAGAATACACGTACACAACACAAACTGACAACCGATTTTGTGACCTATGTCAGGGCGTCCTAGTTTACGCTTTCTGGTTGCCTAGTTTTTCAATTTTTACCATTTTTTGGCCTAAAATTGGAAAATTTATGAGATTGGGTTCCCAGGCACAACTGGCCTCATTTGGAACCTTGAGACTATTGCATGAATTCTCGCTTCCATGATGGGGATTATGATTGTATTTGTATGTATGTATAAGGCAGAAGACATGCAGGAATTATGAATAAAAATGGTTAGTTCTTCTGAAGATAGCTTGATCTACAACTCACTGGAGAAGTACACTGTTAAATATCTTGTTATTAAAAGATATTAACGTACAGTGCACCAGGGATCAATCACGGACGGCCATATATTAGCCGAGCAAAATGCTGATATGGCCGTCTACTGAGTCCTGATTACTCTGCACGGACATTATGGCCGACCGTTTTGTCTCATTAATTTGAATATTTCTTCCTTTATTGTTGCAAATCTTTTTATCAAAATCTGTAATCTTTAACACATGCAAACAAAGATTCCGTCTGCTAGACAATCACGGAATCTGACTTCGTCACGATCACTGATCTGTACGATTCATACAATATAACAATGTCATCTCGTGTGTTAAGAGAAATATTTTATATTATAACAAGACGCCCGCTCGGCGTTAACCTCGGGTCGGTGGATAGGGCATCTGGTAAATATGCAAAAATCGTGTAAAATGATAGTTTAATAGTTCACTAGTATAAATGGTGAATCAGTCAATCAAAGCTCCGTTTTAACATTTTATTGATAATAGTTAAATACAGGAACAATTTAGAGAATTTACTGACGCAATTATTTAACTGTTTTATTCATTATTTGGGATATTTTGTGGACGAGTGAATGATATACATAGCTACTTCACTACTTCATCTTGTATTTAGTAACACTAACAGACAATATTATCAGTCTATTTGTTGATTGCACATAGCAGAACGACAGTCACTTCAGATATTTTTAAAATATATCAAAGTACCGAAAATATAATTAGGTACATATAACTGATCCATCATTAGTAATAGTTGTCCCACAGTTGAAGAATGTAATGAGTGGACAGTTGGCAAAATTGTTGTCTACCAGTTACAGTAAGAACCATCCATAAAATGCTTAGCAGTATCAAACAAGTGAAAGTTGGCCGCGGTATTCCCATGCTATTGTATTGTACCTTATATCAACATATACTCGAGTCAGAATAGTTATCCAGCTGAACATGTATGTCAAAATTATCACATCTTCTGGTTTTAAATCAACAATTTTGACGGATTTTGTGCAAGGACAGCTTCGGGTTCCGTTTCGCTTTGGCCGATGCTTGAAATTTCCCGGAAGTACACTTATTTACCAGAAGTTGTCGTCTCCTCCGCAGGCTCTTCGACTACGCGCGCGGCTCGACACAAAATGAAAAAAAAAAAATGGGAGCCGAATTTATGACCTCGGTGTCGTACCGACCCGAGGTAATTATATACTAGCTGTTATTGAGTAAGTTTTCGTTGATATTGTGTAATTGTGTTAACCATTATACATATGCATATACAGTATATGGTTTTGGACTTTTGGTAGTTGTTAAGGTTTTGGTTTTAATATAGTACTGTGACAAGTGACAACATCCCTCTTGAGAATAATTAAGTGTCCGATCATGTCCGACCAAAACATGGATTGGTCAGACCAAGTTTTCAGAATTATATTGAACTCTGCAGTACTACTACACTGACACTGTTAATATCTTGTTATTATTATTATAATTCTTATTTTGATTGTATTGGTATTTAAAAATGTTTACTATTCGACTGGTACAGCCTATCATTAGCGGATTAGCCTTGACCAGAATCCACCCTAAACATTTTTTATACAGTGATCCCCAACGGAAATTTGCTGTGTGTTGATAAAGACTGTATAATATCAATAAAACGTAAATACTGTAATGCCATACCACATGTCAATTGGTAGGGTCTACTGCTGTGCATCATTCTTCTGCTTTTAACATACTGTACATGTATGGACTTTATCTTCTGTATTTATTCCCTTATTCCAACGAAGTAACTCTCTATTTCTTATCTTTAAATTAATAATACTTTCTATTGTTTCTGTAGGTACAGTTGGCAACAGATTTACCAGATTGAAAGCCACTAAACATGCGTGTAATAGAGCGGAAGTTAAGTTAGTAAAAGAATTAGGAGGAACCGACCCATCATTCTACTACTGCACACTAGTTGCTCGAACAGACGTCGAGAGATATTGTGAGAGATATGAAGACAATGGTACTCGAATAAATCGAAATACTTGTTCATCCAAGCCGGATAAAAAAAAGTCAAAAAAATGTACACCAAAGGCAAAGCAAGGATTAAAGGAAATCGATTCTGTTGTGACTGACAAACAAATTAAGAAGTACAAAGCTACTTTTAGTAAAGGCAACGCTCGTAAGAAATCTACTGCAAAATCAGTTTTGCCCGAGGCTAAATCTTTAAATATCACAAAAATACAAGTCGACAAAATTTCACAGGAGCTTTACACTGACGAAGCAAATACTGCAATTACCGAAACAAATACGCAAGATGCAGGCAAGAAACGAAAACGTCGTACGCAATTTGAACTGCTTCAGTCGTACCAATTTTATACCGATGTCACTGAGGATGAAAGTCATAAACGTCAGAAAACATCTGTAAGTGATAGTGATGATCAACAATTGGAAGCTGATTCGATCATACCTGTCGATATAAACTCGAACATTATCGATTGGCAAAATAAATCTCCTAAGAAACTGGAAGAGGCCACGTTTAATTATGATGAACTTGATTTACCTTTTTCGGACGACAACAACAATGCTAGTGGTTCCGTTGAACCACGTTCACCAACTTTGTTACTTAAGAGGTCCCAGAATAATAAATGGCATGTTGCGAAGGCCGTTTTACCACTTCTTAACCTTGATGATACAGAATCTGAAAAATCATCTGATATTGTGATCAAGGCGAAGAGTAACAGAAACTTAGGGGAATCAAAGACTGCAATGACAAAAGTGAAAAATAAACTAAAAGCTTTACGGAAATCCTCCACTGCAAAGAAGACGAAGATCGATAAAAGTGTTCGTCCTTTGGCTTCAATTAAAAAGCTTGGCAAAAAAGGTTCGAAGAAAGTAAAGGAATCAAACAAAAACCGGAAAATCTCCGTTACTACTCTGGACGAACAGGAGAAGACACAAAAATTTGAGGGAGATCCTATATGTGAGAAAGATATTAATGACACGAAACCAGAAAATAGTGATAACACTTCTGCGAGTGTTCAGCACAAAAATGTTGATAGGAGAAAAAGTTTGCTACTTCGTAAGGACAATACGGATAGTTTAAATAAGACTTCAATTGTGAACAAGGAGAAACGAGAAAATGGTACTAAAAATGACAGTAAAATAACAGTTAAAAAGAAGCGAAGAAGACGTGTAGAAATGAATTCCTTTCGTTTAATTGAGACTATTCCATATTCCTCGTTATTAGTTGTAAGAGATGGCGATCTTTGCCCTTCCTATACCATGGCATATAATCAGAACAATTATCTTCCTGGTTGCTGCCATGCATTATGGAGATGGCGTTTAGGGAAGCCAGTGAAGATTCCATGTCAGTCCCCAGTGAAAACAAAAGATGACCAGTTCCTGGTGGAGAAAAAACAAGATGACCTGTCCCCAGCCAAGCCAAATGAAGATTATAAGTTTCCGCCTAAGACAAAACAGGCTGAGCATTCTCAGGTTGGAAAAAGGCGAGATGAGCAGTCCCCGGTCGAAAAAAGGCCAGAAGAGCGCCAAATCGAAACAAAGACAGATGAGATGTCCTCGGCTAAAACAAAGAAAGAGAAACAGTTCGCGTTGGAGGAAAAGCAAGATGACCTGTTATCCCCGGTGGAAACACGACCAGATGAACATGCTCCGGCTAAAGAAAAACACGATGACCTGTCCCCAATTAAAACAACACAAGATGAACAGGCGAAGAATGATGTGGAAATTAATGGAAACGAAAAGTTATCGAATTAGAGGGAGGATGATATTTAAAACGTTATTTGTTCAGGACACAGCTATTCCACAGTCAAAACAAGGCAAAATGACTAGCCAAAGGATGGGGCACTATAGATTATAAAGTTAACAGCGAAGGTTGTTTTTTAGTAAAGAAATATCCATACAGTCTCAACTGTTCCAGTTACAGTGTGCCAGAAACGTACTGTGTGCAAACGTAAAGAAACATTTTTCTAATTATTCACTTACTGTAAGCGCCGATGGACTTTGTTCTTTTTCTAATAAAGCTTTGTATTTCGTAAATCCAGTCGTTTTCAGCGCTTTTGGCGCACAAACATAACGAGACTAACAGGTGGGTAATTTGTCGACACCAAGGCATTTTTAATACCATGGACTGGTGGGGCAATTGCCCCACTGGGCCCCTACCTCTGCCCCACCACTGAAGAAAAAAAATGGCCTATTTCCCCAAAGCCAGGGCCCTATGACCTGTATTGAGTAAATGAGTTGAACATTGAAAAGCGTGAGCATACATAAACTTATGTTGTGTTTGATTGTTTAGCATGCAATTTATTACTGACAAATTTCACCATTAAAACTGTTTTGAGAAGCTGCGATTTTTTAAAAATGTGTTCTCAGAATGCAGGAAATCTATTAATGTAAAGTGAAGTAAAGTTACTATTTGTTTAATATGTCGTATCAAATTTAAAAAAGACGATTAAAAACCTAAATTAAACTAGTTTAAGTTCAATAATAACTATAACTACGCGATATACTAATAAAAAATTAAAATTAATGGTAGTTTATAGAATTTAACATGTTCGCCTCTGCACAAGTGAATTCAAATTGTTGTGTTACAGTTGTTGCGTAAAAATGTACTCATGTACCTCTAAGACATGATAAGGCTGAGCGTATAATGCTATAATTTAATCGTGTTTATTGTAGTTTATTGTAGAGGAATCATTCTAGGATCTCTTATTTGAAAGTTTACGGGCTAATACTTCATGAAATTTCTTGCATTCATCAGCCATTGCTCCATTTGTCCCAAATACAAGTGGCGTAAATGCTCCATTTTTCACTACGACAACACGGTCGTTGTATGCTCGTTTCTTCTCTTGTTCAGCGAGTCGGGTTCTTTAGCGCTTTGTGTTTCGTGAGGTTTCTGTGAGATTGGGCATTAACATTCGTGACGCGAACATAAAAAAAGCAGTTTGTCCCCTTTCTCCAGAATCCTCTTGCCTTCACATCCACCCTCGCATTATCATCGGTGTTTGCCGTTCTGTGCCGGTAGTGTTTACTTGTCAATGGTTGTAATAAAGGTTCAATAGAAACATCTTTGCAGACCTCTGATAACACGGTTGCTTCGAGATCGCGAACTTCATTGTTGGGATTTGAATCAAAGCCACCTTTCTTACAATCCATCGCATGTTGAACTGTGAATGGTACTCCACATGGACACGTTCCGAGCGGGAGGAATCTTATGACATATGTCATAACGGCTTCGATAAAATATTTAGGGGACACGTTTGTGCCATATAAGGAAGTTGGGGACACGTTTGTGCCATATACGGAAGCATGGTTTCCTCGCGCTTCGAACGATTGAACAATTGGATGATCCTACCCTCTTATTATTAGTGAAAATCACCGATGTTAATGTTTCGTGTGAACCGCGAAAGCTTGGGTTGTAATGTAAATAAATATGGCGGATTTTGAAAATATACAGTTTTTTGTTTTTGTTTTTTAATTTATTTCCCATGTATAGAAATCTACTTAAAATATATTACAATAACTTGAAGATTTTGGGCTAGAGACCTATTAGAAATCTTCATAGACTTTTTATTTTAGGTCTCTAGTTACTGTTCGTTTTATCACATAATCAATTATTTACAGTCAATCAATACATAATATGTAAAGTCAGAAAGTTTTGAAGTATATATATTATATTTACAAGAGAGAAAAAGAAGTGGGCATGTTCGTATTATATAAATTAATAGTAATGTTGTAGATGTATTTAATTTTACAATGTCAATAACTGGGCTACAATAGACTAAAGTATATGTCATTATATACATTAGAGAAGTATGTTTTATATAATTGTGTATAGCAAAAAATGTTGTTTAATTTTCTTTGTAAAGGTGTTATAGGAGTTTACTTCATTAAGTTTTGTTTCTAACGAATTCCATACATCAACTCCTTTATTTGAGAGAGTGTGTTTTACATAATTTGTTCTTTTATAACATTTGTGAAGTTTTGATGCATTTCTCGTGTTGTGTTCATGAATTTGGTTGTTTGTTACAAAATAATTTTTAAAGAAATCTGGTAAATTGTTAAGGTGGTGGTATCGAAACATAAATAAGGCAGTTAAATACTAAAATAGTCATTGATTTTGAAAATGTCTAGGATATTTAAATCTTTGAAAATTGGCTCACTGTGCTCTAAGTAAGACTTTTTGTATGTTCATTATTTTTTGGATTCGACTTTTATAACAAATATGGATAGACTAAGGGACGGACCATTTGATTTTTCATGGGGGGGGGGGCGCATTTTTGAGAGTGCTCGATTTTTTTTTGGACCTCATACTCTATGGTGGCCCATGAGTGCCATCAAGCATTTCTTACAAATATAATTATTTATTGATAAATTATTTTATTTTTAATAACTTTTATTATTTAAAACGCGTAAATTTAATTGTTTTTAAAATCAATATCACTTTGTATTTAACTACTAAATGAATGTCATTAGGGGTTTTTTTTATATTATAGTTTTTTATTTTAAATTTTAAACTAAAATAAAAGTAAATTAAAATGAAATGAAATCGAAACGAAATGTAAAGTATTTGT